ATCATTTTTCTACGATGACATTATCCAATCTCCTGACATGCTGCAGTTTTTCACGGATGCTGCCCCATCCGTAGGTTTTGGGGGGTTCTTTCAGGACAGGTGGTTCGTGGGTTCATGGCCTTCTTCATTCATCACCCAATCATCCGCTCTGTGTGAGGTCTACCCCATAGCCATAGCTTGTCGTCTGTGGGGCCCGCTCTGGGAAAGAAAACGCATATCCGCCTATTGCGATAACATCGCTGTCGTCGAAGCCTTAAATAAAGGTCGCTCCTCCTCCCAGTCTCTCATGCCCTTCATCAGAAGCCTCACCTGGCAAGCAGTCACTAACATTTTCATTATCTCAGCGCGTCACGTTCCAGGCCATTCTAACACTGCTGCTGACGCCCTCTCTCGTTTCAAATTTCAGACTTTCCGACTCCTGTTCCTCCTCTAGAGGAATTCACCCTCAATTAACTCACTCTCTTCATTCATATCTTCTTTCCTCCAGCTTCTACATGAAATCTGGTTTAGCTACTTCTACTCTCAGAACCTACAACTTTGTATGGCAATTATTTGCAAAATTCTGTTCAAGTCTCCAAATTCCCCTGTATCCTTTACTCATTACTTCTGTCATAGCTTTCATTTCTTACTGCTTCGATAAACGCCGCTTCAAATTATCTTACATTCGCAGCTTGTTAGCCGGCATCAATTTCTTTTCCAAATGCTATAACCCTAAGTCGTCTAGCCTTTTCGCTGACTACTCCATCAAGCTTCTCCTTAAAGGTCTAGCTAAACATTCTTCTGATACTTCTGACACTCGTAAGCCTATTACTTTTCCGATCCTTAGAAGACTAGTGTCCTCACTTTCTACTAGCACCTACTCGTCTTATGTCAAGTCTCTGTTATCTAGTTCCTTCTTATTGGCCTTCTATGGCTTTCTGAGACCGGGGGAATTCACTTCTTCTAATAGACACTTTAATCACTCCCGAGATCTGTCCATCTCAGATATTCGTTTTTACATCAACCATTTCAAATTATCTTTAAAACATTCTAAAGGTAAAAGCGCTTGTTCCATCTTCATCGCACGAACAGATGGCCCCCTCTGTCCCTTTCCCGCCATGTTCGATTTCATTCAAAGACGACACTCTATGCCCTCTCATTCTAAAGCACTCTTCATCACACCCGAGGGTCATACTATGTCCACTCGTTGGTTCCTTCATCACCTCAGGACACTTTTAGAATCTTGTGGCCTTCCCTCTAGTGGCTATTCCGGGCATTCGTTGCGGATTGGAGCAGCTACAACAGCAGCTACTCGTGGGGTTTCTGAGGCTTCCCTCCAGCAACTAGGCCGATGGTCATCATCAGCCTATACCTCATACATCCGCCCAGAACTCCCATCAATTCTCGCAGCGCAGCTCTCTCTCTGCCTCTAGGTAACTCTAACACAAATACTGGTGGTGGTTCGATCTCTTTCGCATCATTACCTGACCTAACCATGACCATCCTCTAACTCATCTTCTTCTTCTCCTACTGTTATCAGTTATCTACATTATTCCTTGCTTTCTGCAGTCTTCATGCTGTCTCCTTGCTATACTCACGCTGTCTTTATTCTGGCTCGTATACGTGCAATCTCACCTTTATGTCAGGCAGCAACATGCCTTCTCTGTGTGT